CTAGATACAACCTGAAGAAAGTTGTTTACCGGCAGGAGGCTGGAACTGGCCAGGTAACAGTGAAGGTAGGCATGTGATGTCATCCATGGAGGGCAGACATACAGACTCACAGGTGCTGTCCCTGTGAAGTCCGCCTCCCTCCTGGTATAGCAAGTACTTGGACTCTGGTGACGTCCTTAGAAGGAAGTGACCCAGCTGGAGAATGAGTCCAGCCCCCTTCCGCCTTCCCCAAATGGTTTACTCATTCTAATCATCCTTTTTCTTAATCCACGTCATCTCAGGTCAATGTACGACTCAGCCAGGGGAGCAATTTTGAAGTCTCTTTCTCCTTGGTTTGAAATTTAAAATGAATTTCCACAGGAGCTAAGTCATCAGAGCTGGAAAGTTGCAGAAACCTACTTCTTTAGGAGTTTAAAACTTAGCTCCGTGCCTGTGGGAAGACTAATCTGGTGACCTCCAGTCACTGGCTGGAGGCTTTCAAATACAGCGGAAGTGAACACAGACTGACAGCCTGGAGACAGCATGGCTGGGAGACGTGCCTGAGCCGGAAAGCCCCCACGCCCGCTGCAGGACTGGCTGGCACCACACGCTGCCCTCGGGGATGAATGAGGCCTGGCACACCTGGGCTCAGAGGCACTCTTCTCTGAAGGCCCCAGGCCCTTTAAACTCTCCACCCAGACGTGGCAGCCAGAATGAGTGCGCACTTCCAGCCTAGCTGCTTTTCAATGAAAAGTTTTATTAGAAGGGCACTTACAGGAGGAAGAGAGGAGAGAGGGACACATTTAACAATAGGGGTACAATGCTTAAACAGGTGCTCAGCTCTTAAGATACAAAAGTTAGAAAAATCTAAAACACTATAAATACATACATGCTTTTTACAAAGGTATTAAAAGGTCAGGCTGGCTGAGAAGGGAAGGTAATCAGCGTCCTCCGTTCTCTTCCCCACCCAAGCAGGAGTCCCGCCCAGGACAGCCTAGTTGCAACAGCAGCACTGAAGGTGAATGAAGGCTTCTTGGGGGGAGGTGGCTCCAGCCCTCTGTACAGTTCTCGCCCCTAGGAAGGGAGAGGGGCTGGGTTCAGAGGCCCCTGTGGACGGGCCCGCGTTTGCCTCTGGGGGCCAAGCCCAGAGGCACTGCGCCCTCCACCAGTGTTCGGAGCGAGCTGTACCCCGTCTCTTCCCAAGCCACTGTCCTCGGGAGGAGAGCCATTTCCAACTTTCTTCCAAAAATTAAATAGTTATCTGTCTTGGTTTTAAGAAATTATTACATAAATATAAAAACACCAGAATGCTCGAGTGTACATTATTTCAGCATAAAAAAAATTACAGGATCACTTGAGAGAATTTCTCAATCCAGTTTACACAAAACATGAGTTTTTCTTTGTGATAGCCGTGTTTCTGAAAGGTTGCTTGTATACCAAGTCATCTCCCCACTCTCCCATCAGAGATGCCTCTTCAGTTTTGATCCATACACTTTTCAGCTTTCCTACCCACTTGAGAAGCGGCTGATACTCCTCAAAGACTGTTACTTGAAGGAAGGTTCTAGAAGGGAACATCTACACCACACCAAAGTGACACAACTTGCCTATGTTGAGGTTTTCTTCCAGCAAAGATGTAGATTAGGGAGAAAACTCCCAACTCTGCCACTTGAAGTCACACAGTGAGATACAGGGTTCAGAACCAAACATGCGCCCTCTCGCTACTGGTAACCCCCTTCATAAACAGTCCTAGGAGCAGCATGCCAATTCCTGTCCCTCCCTCCTTTTACAGACCACAGAGTGGCCTAATGGGAGCTCTGGCCCCCAGAGGTCCTCAGAGCCTCAGAAATGGCAGCTCGGGGCTGCAAATGAAATCAGATCTCTGCCTTCTCCCCAAATGACTCGCATGCATGCATGACATGCACACATTACTTCAAGAAAACCTTTTTCTGTGGTTTGAGTAAAAGCATTTAGCCCTGGAATATGTCCAAACTCCAGGAAGCCAGAGGGAGATGGAGAAAAACAAACTGAAGCACAAGATATGTGCTACAGCTCATTCCAATACGTTAACAATGATTTAAAAAAATAATCACCACGGACAATTAAAAAAAAAATACAGCACAGACAACATAAGGACAATGGGAAAGTCTGCCAGCAGCCTTGCCCTCATGTCTGTTCCTCCTAAAGAGTCAAAGTCCCCGCTCCTGACTCTGGGCTTGTCTCAAAATGTCAGGTCTGCAGCCTGCCAGGAAGGTGGCCAGCGGAGATGACGTGCCAGCACAGGCCTGTAACCCGAACTGCCGGGGCGGCTACCTACTTGCGCTGGAAGGCTCCCAGTACTAAATAAAGTTAGGAGCGGGGAGGGTGTGGGAGGAGAGGAAAGGGAACAGAAGTTGGCTCCCAGGGGAGGTGCCGAGGCCAGCATCTAGGGCCCCTGCGCTATAGCTACACCCGGGTCAGCATCGGCACAAGCCGCAAGGTGAAGGTGGCCTGGCGGGGAGCCCGGGGCAGGGGAACAAGGCATGTCCTGCAGCCTGGACAATGACACCAAAAGCACTCTCCAGCAGCTGCCATCACCCCCGAGAACTGCCCTCCTCCTGCCCCTTACCTGTCCTGCCTTTCAATGTATAAATGCCTTTATGCAATAGGGTTTTAAAACTATTTTTTACGACTTGTAGGACACTAATATTACACATGCCTTAAAGCCACTTACGCGGCCTCTGTGATGGGAATGAAACCAGATCCTAACCTCTAGGTACAACCAAATTTTCTTCTGAAGGGTGCTGAACGTGGTCTTCCCCACTTTTTCCTCACCCATCCTCCTGCAGCAGTCTAGTTATAAAGAAAAAAGGCCAAGTAAGTAGCTTTTGGGAAAAAACACAAAATTAAAACTCCACGCCTCCTAGAATTCTTTAGCTTTCAGCACTGTGGGTTCTAAGACGCCATCCAAATGCAGCCAGACGTGACCAACTGGATCACCCAAATTGGGCTGTACCTGAAGCCAGCGCCCAGGTACCCGGAGGACAGCTGTGTGCCATAGGAAGAGCTCACAGGAAGGAGATCACGGGCCCCTGGAGACTGCTCCCCGTGGCTTTTAGTGGAGGCATTGCGACACTCCAGCCGAGGCCGAACTGAAGTTAGAAGCCATACCACCAATCTCAGACCTGACCGGGAGCAGAAACGCACATCTTGGAGGTTCAGATGATTTCTTGTATCTGTAAGAGGCAGTCCACGATCATCTCACACCAGGCAGAAACTTCAGACCCACAGCATCTGGCTGCAGGTGGAGTGTGGGGCTACGTGGTGTCTCTGGACTCTGACGACAGCCCTGTGCGAAGACTAGTCCAGGTCTGGCAAGGCACTCCTGTCTGCTCCTGTGTCCTCTGGAGGCGTGGTGAGCAGCCCTCCTACCTGGACTTCAGGGCTGGAGCTTCCGAGGCCCAGGGTCCTGCGAGCAAGGTACCGGGAAGCACCAGCGTCTCCACACAGCATCACAAATGTCATCACATTTGAGGTTTATACCTGCCAAAAGTACACACCTTCTTCCCTTCACCTGGAATAATACAGGACTTCCATAGGAAATCCCTTCATTTTTCCTGGTAGAAAACCATGCAAAAATACGGGATAAGTCATTTCATACAAAAACAGCAGCAAAGAATAAAGTACCAATTGCAAGTGACAATTCCATCTGCTGTATTCTGCAAAAGGTCAGTATAAGAGGGCTCTTTTTTTTTTTTCCAGTTGAAATAATCTATAGTAGTTTCCTTACTAATTGCCACTGGGAGCAATACTTATTATACATTCTAACTGCTAGAGTTGTCACTGACGGTCCTCTGCTGTGAGCTAGATAATCTCATACCTCAGGGGAAAGATGACAGACCTCTTTGCACCAATTCTGCAGTTTTCAAAGGTGTAAAAATAATTTCTTTTAATAGCCCTTTTTATTTGTCTTTGTCGGCCTGAGATCTTTCCCTCTTGGTGAATTTGCTTCTGTCAATTTCAGCTTCCAAAAGTACTGGCAGGTATCTTCTTAACAAAACCTGGAGAAAGTTTCACTTTGGGAGAGAAGTTGCTGGATCCCACTCTGGTTTCCCAGTCAGTGTGGGTGTTTTTTTTTTTTTTAACTCAAATGTTTAAAAGAGCATACGATAAAGGTCATTTAATTAACGCAACTGACTATACCAACCAATATAGCCAAATGCATGAGAAAGCGGAGCGAGCTCTTACAGGTGACTGGAGACCCTCGCACACCTCACAGACAACTACCTCCTGGGAACACTTCCCGTAATTCGGATCTCTCTTGAGATTAACATGATGATACAAACTGTACATCGCATATGCGCTGAGCCTCAACAGATCCTGCCAACTGCTGGAAATGAGGGCACATTTAAGGTCATTTTTAAAGAAGAGGTGTCTTACCACCTCTTCCCACCGGTCCCTACGTGCTCGATTCTGAGCACAATCAGTAGGCTCAGAGAGGTGGAGACCGACGAGCCCCTTCCCTGCCCCAAGTCAATTCAGCGCTCAGGTACAGGGTCTGCTGCTGCCGGGGTTTGGGAATACTCGGTGGAAGGGGGGGGCTGGGCCCGAGGTGTGCTCAGACCCCTGCAGGCTTCTCCCAGCCCAGAGCACCCAAGGCGAAGTCCACACTCCAGTCCTAACCAGCGGGCCAATTCCTGTTGGGCAGTGACATCTCAGTTTGCTGTCTCTTTAAGAAAGAAGGGGACCCGGGGAGGGGCAGGTGGTGAAACACTACCTGTTTGCTCACGCCACCAGAGCAGAAGCCATTTCTTACCCTTCAGACCAGGGTCGAAGGGCCAATGTGTTCAGCAGACACAGCTGTTCATAGAAACCCCCCTCTGGGTTTGCTTTCGTGTTTTGGAAAACAGGCTGATACCACTTTGGTTGAGGGAGAAAAATTTCTTCTTTGACACCAGTGAGTTGAGTTCTGATTTCTCCACCTCCTACAGGGCCCTCTTTCCCAAATCTACCCTCCCTCCCCTCCCCCTTCACTTGCAGTGTCCCTAAGACACGCTGGAGCAGCGGATGCTAGGGGAGCCCATCTGGGTGAGGACCTTGTCAAGCCACTGCAAAGGTCCATTCAGGTGCAGCTCAATCCAGCAGGGGGTGCTGGTCACAGTCTGTCTCCTGCAAGACATTTGAGAAAAGGGTGGGTGGGGGACATTTAGAATATCCAGTAGCACACACAGATGCATCAGAGTGGCTTCTCCTGATCTGGTGACAGTCTTCTTCCCAGAGCCAGAGGTACAGCCTGCCCTGCCAGACCCTGTCCTGGAGAAGGTGCCACCAGCTTGCTGAAACTGCCTGCCAGACTCCAAGCAGGAAGGGAAAGGAGGTGGCCCCCTTAAAGAGAAACATGTAAGGCAAATTCCAGGGTGCCCCAGAAGCCCACCAGTTGCCGTGACGGGCCACTGATGGAGAAACTCCAGCCGGAGCAAAGGTCTCCCCGGCCCCCTGTCCTAAGTGGGCACCCACAGCTCCCCTGCCTCCAACCCTGGCAGGCCATGATGACGGGCGTCTGTCTGGTTGAGGGGTGTTTTTTTACAAAGCGCCGACAGAGTCCACATGCCGTCGGTCCCCAATGTGCTGATATAATTCCCATCTATGGCCTTATTTTGGAAAATCTTACGAGCAGAGCGAGCCATGGAACAATTACTGGAAAAAACTAAGGCACACCACACGTTTCTTTTCCCCAAAGCCCTCTGTCTAAATTCAGGCTGGTTGATGACGCAGCTCGCAGGCGAGCTCCCAAAGGCCTCCACTGAGCAAAAGGCTATCTGCTGAGGCCGGAGGCGCGGGTGCCAGCTGGAGGTGAGAGGCCCGGGCCCCAGGCCCGGCTCTCGGCCACCTCACAGGAAGGGATGAAACCTTGCTCTCCTTGGCCCAGGAGGCAGAGGAGGGCGAGACTGTTCTGGGAAGGGGCCGCACCGCCGGTCAGGCTGCTGCTCAGCGCTGCCAGGCGGCGGTGACGTGGGGCGCGCAGGACTGGGTGTGCTGGCGGCGTGTCCCACGCGGTGACACAGTGGCCCCAGGGAAAGGCTCTGGCCAGCAAAGGGCCTCGGCCCCAAGCACTTGAAGCTGGAGGGCCGCGTGCCTCGCCAGGTTGAGAGCCGCCAACCCCAGGGCACCACCCTCCTCGCCTGGCCTGCGCATCGTCTGAGCGGAAGGTTAGAAACGGGCGTGCAGACTCGGCCCCGGGGCTCCTGCCTGACCCGGGTGCCTGCGTGCAACCCTCAAAGACGGCAGTTTGAGCGTTCAGAGGGATACACGGATCTCCCTCTGGCCCTTTCCCGCTGGGTCCGTCTTCAAATATTTCCCTTCCCCAACAAAAAACAAGACTAGTTTTCTAACCTTTCGTGTTGCCTAAATGATTCCAGCCAAGGCTAAGAGGTGAGCTAAAATGTCTCTCGGGCCGGGCCCGGGGGCCTGGGCTAATGTCAGGCTGTTATCAGTGGGCTGTAAGTTCTCCTGAAGGCTGACCACTCGGACCGCCCAATTGTTCACACCTCCCGGATTTGAGAGGGACCCCACAGACCAAGGGCTCTGTTCCCCAGCACTGTGGGGCAGACATGGAGAACAGCAGCTAAGATACGGTAAATGACAGACGAGGATTTTACGGACCGAAATCCTCTAATGAGAATCTGACTTTCCATAAGTCACGCTCATCTGGATTTCATTATAAATGGTGGCCCAGAGCCAATACTGAAATGGGTTTGGCCCGGGTGCAGAATGACTGCAAAACAAAATGGATTCCAAACATCTGGAAAAATGAAGAGAAGGGGGGAATAACTTGCGAGGTGCTGGCTCGGGCTGACGTGTGGGTACCTCTGCATCTGCTGTGGAGTGGGGGCTGGGCACACAGACCTGCCTCTCGGGGAAGCTCCTGTGCAGGTGTGGAAAGGAAAGGAATGGGCATCTCCAGGCCCACACCCAAGTGGTCTGAGAGCTTCGAGAGAGCAGACCAAGGACACCCCTGACCAGTGCTGCATTTAAACCAGTACGTGAAATGCTGAAAGAAAATCATTTCTGAGCAAGTAAATATTGTTCCTTTGACCGCTGGCTTCTCCTCCCTTCCCTGCTTTCTCAGTTTTAATATCCTAGGTCCTCAGGGTTACCAGGTCAGAGGAGGAGCCACAGAGGAGGGGAGGAACACTTAACTCCTTGAAGAGGGTCGTCCTGAAATCATCTGCCCAAAACAAACCAGGAGGACAACAAGAGGGCACAGTTGTAGGCTCAGCGTTTCCACCAACGGGGCGACTCCAGGCACATTGGTTTCCCTCCCTGGGCCTTTGCTCCCTCACCTGTACAAGGGGGATGATACCAGCATCCCCACCCGGGGTTGTGAGGATGACATGCTTCCAGTGCCCGAGAAGCTGAAACGCTGGGCAAGCACCGCTCAGCTCTTCCTCGTCTGATGGGACTCGGCCCCGCTCTGATCCCTGGTCCCTCTGCTCTTGGCAGAGAGGGCCAGCCTGGCTCATCCCTGAGGACCCCTGCTCGGCTGTTCTGAGTCAGCTGTAGCCCCTGCATCCCCAGCACCCACCTGTACTCGGCTCCCCAGCCCTTGACGAAGCTCATGCGAATGGTGCACATGCGGGTCAGCTGGTAGACGGCCTCGAAGCCCTGGTTGACAGACTGAGCTAAGAGGGCGGCGAACTCCTGGTTGTTGAAGATCTTCAGGTTGCATCCTGCCAACAGGACAGATGCAGAGCTCATGGGGACGAAGGCCGGCCTTGTCCCGAGCTCCCCCCCTGGTTAAAGCCACCGCCCAGGTCACCCAGGCCAGCGTTTCTGCATTAGCCACAGACTCCACGCTCAGCCACCTGCGGGAGGCGGCCCGCGTGGTCTCCACCCTGAAGCCACCGCCGCTTCAATAGGGAGGTGCAGCCGACACAGCCGTAGGGGGGTGCGCGAGCCTGGTCCCCAGAGCGGGGGGAAGACTGAGGGAGACAGTCAGCTGGGGGGCTCTGCCCTGGGTGAAGGGGCCGGGCAGGACTCCAAGGAACAGAGAGACAGGGCTGTGGCCCAAATGCCCCCTCGGCGTGGGGCATGGTCGGCTGCTTGGGGAACAGAAGCCCGTGCCCTTCAATGGAGGGGGCACCAGAGAGGGCAGCTGAGAGGCTGCCCAGCCTGCCATGCCAACAGGAAGCTCAGCAGAAGGTCCTAGGCACCTTCCACCCAGGGTTCTCCGTTAAATCCACCTCCGCTGGGACTGAGGGCAGTGAGAGATCTGAGCACAAGGCTGGGTTAGAGTGATGTTCGCAGGAAAGGGAAGGTGTGTGCCTAACTTTCCCAGCAGTACAACCAGAGCCAGGCACACATGAAGCGTACAATAAATCTCCTGTTTGAAGTCCTACAGCCCAAGTGCCAGGAATGTGTCAACCGGAAAAATAGAAGACAAAAGCATGTTCCGGAAATGCCCCAAAGGTGAGCTGAGGCGACACTCACTAGCGGGCCAGCCCCGACTGGGCCCCCCGGCTGGCTGTGTGACTCTGGGCTGGTCCCTTTCTCTTCTAAGCCCATATCTCCCTTGTGAAGGGAGAGGCTGGCCTCAGGAGCCCCCAGCTCCGACATTCCAAGAACTAACAGCCAGCCACAGCCAGCTCTGCCCGAACCAGAGAGGCTGGGAGGGCCAAGGGGTGGGCAGAAAGCCAGAAGTGCAGCTGGGCTTCCTCTCCTCGTCTTCTCTGAGGGGACAGGAGGTGAAGCAGGGCCCGCGGTGGGCTCCCGCCCCTGCCCAGTGAGCAGCAGATGAGCACACAGCCCCAGGCTCATCCTGGCTCGGCCACTGACTGGCTGTGTGTCCTATGCAGGTGGCTTAGCCTCTCTGAGCTTATCTCAACGTGCCTCCCTGCCGGGAAAGCTAGAATAATAGAGAGGACTCGGTGAGCCCCAAGACAGACATGTGCTCTGTAAAGGCAACCACACGACGTTTTGGGAACAGACAGCACCACCAGCATCTCAAACTGCATTCTTCACTTGACCTTGCCCATGACCCGCCGCACCATCATCTGCTACTTGGCAGGCAGGAAGACATGCTACACTCGTGCCGTAGGCAATGGCCTGAGCCGCACACCCTGCCTGCCAGGCACAGTCCACGCTCTGCGCTGCATGTCCTGGGAGGAGGGGGCCTCTGGGGCTTTCTGCCTCTGCTTCCTACGCAAGGTTCCAGGTAAGATCAGCCTCTTGCCTGGTCTTCTACCCAGGGCTGGCCTTGTCCACACCACCCTCTGAGGTGAGCCTGCCACCGCCTGGAGTACACAGTCCTACTCAGAAAACCCTCAACAGTCTCCTTGAGTAAATGTGATCTCATGTCCTTCCATGGCCTGGTCCCATCATATTGTCTAAACACGTGCCCGACTGTCTAAACAGCCTCCACCACAGCCAGAGTGCAGCCCACACGTGCCTTGCCCTCCTTCACCTCTAGGCCTTTGCCCAGATCATCCCCTCTGCCTGGAATGCCCTCAGTCCCTGCCCCCATCACCCTGTGCCTACTCCTTCCACACTGGTGCAGGCCCATGGCTCCCTCCAAGCTCAAATGCCTTATCCTCCATGAAGCCTTCTCTGAACCATCCCAACAGTTAAATGCTTTTCCTCTTGGATCCAATAGCATGTGACCTGTGCTGCTTGCTTTGTGCTTAGCGCTACCCTCCCTTGTATTAAGCACATTTGGGTCTCTGCCTTGTACACGCAGCTGATGGGTTCACTCTGAGGGGGCAGCAGGAGGACTTCCTGTATCCTCCTATCCCCCTGCAGCTTCCAGCATGACTGTAGGAAGGAAGGGAGGAAGGAAAGAAGGAAGCAAACAAGCATACTGCCTCAGCATCTGTGCACACAGGCAGGAAACAGGTACCCACAGACCTGTCAGATGCTGCGTCTGCTCTGCGGAGGTTCCAGGAGGTCACAATAAGACAGCAAGGCACAGAGAAAACCCAAGTGAAGCATCTCCAGACTGTCAGTGCAAACACCAACGAGGAGAAAAGGAAGAAGAAAGCTTTCCGGCATCCCAGGCATGCGCAGCAGAGGAGAGGCCCGCAGAGAAAGGGTGGGCGTGTAGGTGGTGGTACCTGGCGGAATCTTGCAGACGGTGGCTGGGTGCCAGCCATAGCGCTGGTTACAGTTGGGAGACTGCACAAAGATGGCGCTGTCACTGAGGCATTCTGCGAAGACCTCCCCTCCGATGTAGTAGAGCCGCACGCCCCGCCCTAGAGAGATGCAGGTTAGCCGGGACCAGGTCTCTCTGGCCCCCACACAGTGGTCCTGGCACCAGCCGCAGCTACCACAGGAGGCAGGGCTGCAGTCGAGGTTCCAGGTGACTGGTTCTCTACCAGCATCACCAGGCAAGCGGGACCCAGAGCCCAGGCCCAATCCCACCAGGAAGTGATGGGTGGTGGCTAAAGCTAGGGAGGCAGACCACCAGTGATCTGCCACAGGCCTCAGCCAAGTTACGCAGCCTCAGTTTCTTCATCTGTAGGATGGGGATAATGATAATACCTACCTCATGGGTGCCTGGTGAGCAGTAGCTGTTGCTGCTACTTACTACTAGGTCCCTTCCCCTTCCAACATTCAGAAACTCATGTCGTCAACCTGCAGAGCTCCTCGGGCAGCAGACACCCCAGGAGCCCTTCACTGCAGGCCTGGCATCGTTAATGCCACCCCCTGGACCTTTCTCCTCTCAATGCATTTTTCTAAACCACTCCATAGGTTTATATCATTTAGTTTTTCTTCATCTTTTAAATCCACTCCAGATGGACAGAAATTATTTTTAAACTGGCCCTGCAATTCAAGCGGTTACATAAACCCTCCAACAATGAGTCTCTGCTCGGCCAGGGGATGTACTCTTCTGCCTGGAAGGTCTCTGTTCCCATTCCAGGGGGGGAGAAGCCCTGAGGGCCGGGAAATGGAGCCAGATTTCACAGGCGCGCCGTGGAGTGGGATGGAAAGCAGGTGATCAGCTACAAGCCTGCCACCTCGTCCCACAGCTGTCCCCCGCCCCCACTCCCCTGCTCTGCCTGGCTCAGTGCTGCAGGACTTGGCATCTCGAAGACCCCAGGGTGCCGGCAGACCCAGGGGACCCCAGTATTACGTCAGTCAAGAGCAGGAGGCAGAGGTGGAGGTGGGAAGACAAGATCCAAAGAACAAAAATGTTTGGGTAACTTTTAAAATACTATTTTTAGATATACAGAAGTATGAAGTGAGTAAATAAACCTCTGTGTATACCGCTGCGGGTCTTTTTAAAACAAGTGAGGGGCTGTCTAGGAAGGGTATGGGCTGAGGGGCAGGGGCTTATGTCACCCACTGTGTCACACACTTGCTGTGTGCCCTCTGCCCCTCCCTGGGCGTCAGGTTATTCCCTGGAAAATGATGCCCCTGGTGCAGGCCCGTGGCTTCCCAGCTTTTAACTGGAAAACCGTCTCTGCACATGAGATCCTCTGTGAAGGCCCACGATACAAGCAAGAGCAGAGGCGCTCTGGTTCACACGGGCCCTGACCCTGCCGCCCTGCTCAGCTCTCGAGTTTGCTCTAGAGCCCCTCGGCCACCGTGGATGCACCGAACAATCTCTGAGAATACCCACCCTCTCTACACCATCTCTACGACCCTTCTAGGTGACTCTGGATCACAAAGTTGTGAACATCCTCAGCGTGATGATTTTCTGAACAAATCAAGGGCCACATATCACGGCTTCACCTTCCCTAGACTAAGTGATCTCTCGCCACGGGCTGGGGCTCAGAAGACAGTGTTAGCAGCGGTGCTGTCCCAGCTGCAGGCAATGAAAGTGAAAAAAAAGTCAAAGTCGCTCAGTCATGTCTGACTCCTTGCAACCCCATAGACTACACAGTCCATGGAATTCTCCAGGCCAGAATGCTGGAGTGGGTAGCCTTGCCCTTCTCTAGGTGATCTTCCCAACCCAGGGATCGAACCCATCCAGGCCTCCCGCGTTGCAGGCGGATTCTTTACCAGCTGAGCCACGAGGGAAGTCCAAGAATCTAGGAGTGGGCAATGCCTGTCGTCTTTTCACTTTTTCTAAGTTCCTAAGACAATTATATATGAAATGAACAAATGAAAGATCACTCCTCCAAGACAGACTATCTACCTGTCTGCGCTCCATATTTTAAGGGTATTTTCATTAAGAGAATGGCACAGCTGCCTTTCTCAAGAAATCCAAGGGTCTTCCTCGACTGCTTTCAAATTTTCAGAGATGGTCTGTCTGAGGCGGGAGGAACAGGCAACCCGGATTCTACCTGTCTTACCCTAAACACCCTCAACAAGGTGACAGAGAGCTCGAGGGGCAGGTGAGGGAGGCAGCACAGGGTGGCGGGCGGGTTCCCGCGGGGGCAGTGGCAGGCTGGGGTGTTGGGGCCAGGCGGGGGGTAACGTGGCCGCCCCTTACCGATATGCCTCCGTGTCAGCTCCACGGCTGCGTTCCGGTTGACATTGGAGAGCAGCCCCAGGCAGAAGCGCTCCGAGTTGGAGGGGTCGGTGAAGCCGTCCACTGTCATGGATGGCTGCGAGGCGTGGAATGTCTCCCCGACGCGCTGGTTGAGCTCGTAGTAGGAGATGGAGCACCAGAAGGCCGGCTCACAGTAGGTGACGGGCTGCAGGTCTGCGGAGACAGGCCAGGCTGCTGGGTCAGGGAGTGTCCCCAGGCTCTGGGCTCCTGGATGGGGTCCCCGGGATGCTCTGCAAAACTGTTTCCTCACCTCCCGGAGGGCATTATAACCTCCCCGCCCTTTTCCTGTGTAAAACTCACAGGATCTAGTGGGGCAAAACCCTCAGGTGTTGGGAGATGCATTCCACCGGCCTTAGCACTGTTCATTTAGTCTGAGCTCACAAAGGTCCTACCCTGCCTGGCCTAGGTCAAAGCCGTCTTCAAGGAGGTGCCGGGCCAAATCTGAAAGGCTCTGGAACCAACAGATACCTGGGCAGACGCACCAGACAGGCCAGCAGTGTCCACTGCAGTCTGGTCCCGCCACCTTCCTTTCTTTCAAGGTCCCCATAGTAACCCGTGCTGATCTCTGCCCCCTAAAAGGGCCTGCAGCTTCTGGTTCTGCCTGATCACGGGCCAACTCCTAGCCCATCTCGCGGCAGCGTGCAGGCCTGTGAAATGGCCAGATGACGAGGCTGGTACGACCCCGGTGCCCATCCGTGCTCAGCAGTTACAACCACACAGGCCTCGGGGGCTGTCTGCGGCGTGAGCTGGGTCCCTGCCATTGATTACAGAAGCTATCCTCCTTGTATCCAGATGCCATCCATCGGGGCGGCCGAGACACACACACTCGCCCAAGAGAAACTCTGAATTTATCCCAGTTGCCAGTCTGTGTCTCAGTCAAGGGCACCTTAGAGCAAACTGCCATCCTGTGAGGGGTGGCTCTCAGAAGAGGTAGGCGCACCGGAAATAGAGGCTCCCTTCACATGGCCCCACACTGCCTTTCCCGCGACTCGTGCCGCCTCCAGCCGCTTCAGGCTCCACACCTGCCCAGGTGCCCTCCTTCTGCCCGTCTGTCGTCGCTCATCTCAGGGCCCATCCTCCCGGCCAGGGGCCGGGCCCTCAGCACTCCTCATCTGCCCCGGTGCCTGCCCTCTGACACGACCCCCTCCCGCCCCCTCCGCACCCCGGTCGCCCCTTCTACGGTGCACTGCTCCCGGGGCCACACCCTGCACTCTGCCTCCTCGCATCCCAGGTGATGGACAATCAGAGAGCTTGCTGCTCTCACTACTCCGTCACAGGTCACTCACTCTGGCTCTCATTAACACATACACACATACACACAGCCAGCCATTCAGAGCGCGTCTCTGGGGAGCTGGTGAGAGAGTCTAGGACCGCTCACTGGACCGAGTCTCAGCCCTGGCCCAAGACCCCTGCTCACTGCCCGCCAGGCAACTTCCCAGAGCGAGAGCCCACGAGAACCTCTGCTCAGCTCCCCAGGCCACTGACAGTGTAAAGCCCAGGAGAGGAAAAACCCAGAAGCAGCTCCAGGTGGGGCCAGGTCTCCCTGCCGGGCAACGTGGCCCTCACCTCATTCCAGGGTCAACGTCCACGATCCCATCTAAGGGTGAAAAGAAGGTCAGCACAGGCAGGAGGAGCTGCAGGCAGGTGAGAAGCCTGCCCTTGCCACACCCAGGAAGAGAGTCAGCCGGAGGGTCAGGACACCTAGGTCAGGTTTCTCCACCTCAGCACTATTGAGGTTTGGGGCCGGGTAATTCTGTGTTTGGGGAGAGAGGGCTCTATGGGCTCCAGGATGTGTGTGGCATCCTTGGCCTCTAGATGCCAGCGGACCACATCCGTCTCGCCCTCCCAGCTGACAGTCAGAAGGAGAGAGGTCTTCCAGGGGGCAAAATAGCCCCCAGATGACAGTCAGTTCCCTAAATGTTTGACCAGGTCATGGAGCGCAAGCTTCACGCCAGACACAGACCAGCTGTGTGCTGGTGAGCAAAGAAGTTTAGCTCGGAGTTTCAGTGTCCGCATCTCCCCCGGCCACCAGAGTGGAGAATCTCCTTTCTCACCCAGAGCTGTTTTTGGATGGGCTGAGAGAATTCAAGTGGAGAGCAGGGCATGCATCAGACACTCAATAAATGGTGTCAACAGCAATTAGAATAATTTCAGTTATTCAAACTTGAGAACATCCTGTTCTTGGCCTGACCTCCAACCAAAGGGGGCAAAGTGTCCTTGCCCCTCCTTCTCCTGCCAGGGTGGAGCAAGGGAAGAGGAGGGAAGGTAGGCTGTCCAGGCTACTTAATGGCGAAGGGGGTGTGATGGGGGCAGGAGCGACCACAGCCCGCGGCCAGTACCCTGGAGGCTGGACTGAGCCATGTCAGCCACATCCGGCTCTGGCATTGCTCGATGTTTGACATTCCAATGAGATAAGTTATATTCTAAACAATGTGCTCACTAAAATGTGAGCTATGTTGCTTTGGAAACCTTAAGAAAAACAACCACCACCACCTAAGAAATCCAAGTGCACTCCAAGCCTTCAAAGTGGCCCGGCAACGTTCAGGTCCAGAAGGTACTGCGGAAGCGCTGCGGGCCCCGCTTCCCAGAGGCAGGCTCTGCTGACTTAGCTGCGCAACCTCAGGGACATGACGTCCCTCTCTGGCCTCAGTGGCCCGGTCTGAACGGTGACTGCAGTGTGCTGGAAGCCACTGAAAGCAGACTGGGAAGGTCACGGGTCACACTGAAGAGGCAGCCGAGAGTGATCTGGGCTGGCCTTGGCTTCCCTAGCCGAGTACAGAACCAAGTCCTTGTCCTCGAACGATAAAGCCAAGTCCAACGGCCCCTGGGCTTAGCCCAGGCAGAAGGCAGTAAGCCAGGCTCCCAGGAACACTGACCCGGCCCACTTGTCAAAAGAAGGCAAGTCAGCAGGCCACCCGCTGGGTGACATGGGGCCAGAACACCCTTCTGGTGATGTGTAGGCTTTGAGGTGTCTCAGAATCAGAGAGAGACTTGGGGTCCTCGCCCAGAGGCTCTCCCAAGCAGATCTGAGCCCTTATCTAAACATCCCTGCAACTCGCAGACGCGCGCTAAACAGTGTTGTGGAAAACACAGGATGCAGGAGCCTGACACATAATTAAGCAGATGGTAGTTTGGGGAGTGGAGCTGTCAGGCCAAGGCCAAGTCTGAAGGCTGCCATTTCAGAGAGCGCTGTCTGGACAAGCTGACCCACGTTCAGCAGCAGCGCCCCAGCCGTGCACTCACTGTGGTCTGCAAACAGCTGCCAGTCAGCCTGGCCTTTCACCTCCGCCTCCCATCATCCCTCAGGGCTTCCTGCAGGCACTCACGCCAGAGGAGCTGCATACCCGCCAACGCGCCCCACCTCCGGGGGGTTCTGCCTTGAATGGTGCTTTATTTTTTTTATTTATTTTTTTCCATTTATTTTTATTAGTTGGAGGCTAATTACTTTACATCATTGCAGTGGTTTTTGTCATACATTGAAATGAATTAGCCATGGATTTACATGTATTCCCCATCCCGGTCCCCCCTCCCACCTCCCTCTCCACCCGATCCCTCTGGGTCTTCCCAGTGCACCAGGCCCGAGCACTTGTCTCATGGTGCTTTATTTTTAAACTGCATGTCTGCCCTCATTTCTTTTCCTACTAAAGGACTTATCCACACCATGGTTCAGAACAAGACCAAGTCAGGACCCTGGTAAAGAGAAGACTATAAACAGGCTAACCATTAAATTAGATGGCTACTAAAAGAGCACTCAGCTTGGCTCTGAGCTTCCTAGCAGACAAGGCAAAAAGGGAGCATGATATGCGACCTGGCTCTGGCTGGCAAAAATAAAATTCTTACCAGTTCTGTAGGGAAAATAAAGCTTGTCCTGGGCACTAAATCTTAAAAGAACTCTTCAGTGGGGCCACTTCTCACCCACAACAGTCAACGCAGTCATTCAACCCACCCTGGATTCAAGAGTGTCCCAATAAAGGCAAAAGCAATTTTACATAAGGCTGCTTCTGGGGGAAAAAACTCTGAACATATGCGGCTCACAGCCTCCTCTGGGAGGACAGGGTAGGGTGACCTGCCCCAAGGAAAGTGGTTTCGCTTCCCCAGGCCAAGGACTCCACACACCTGGTGTGGCAGCTGATGGCGCGTGCCCGAGGCCTTCCCTCCACACGGCTCTGCTCCCAGTCAGACTGAGTTTGTGCTAATCCCTCTTCCTGTGGCAGAGGTGTTGCAGACGCAGGAACCTCCTGCTCCAGCCGCTCTCGCCCCCCAGCCCCCGCCGCTGTGGTGAGGGCCAGATTCCTCGAGGGGCAGGGGGCACTTAATTCTCCACTGGCCCCCTGCCAGCCTAACGCACTGGCTGGCTCTGGTTCTGAGCCCAAGTCCAAGCTGGCATGGGCTTTCTGTTTTGTTTAAGGGAAAGAAAACAGAATAAAACCCAGAAGGCAACGCTTGGATTAAGGGATGCCTATTAAAAACATGTGCAAGAGATCCAAATCCGGGAAAGGAAAGGGGGGAGGCCCGAGTGGGGCAATTAGCTTTCTGCTATACGTCGAGGGCAGGGAGGGGGGTGAGGAGCGGGCGTGCAGATGCAGCGGAGCTGAAGGTCAGAGCACCAGCGCCCGCCTCCGTCTGGGCCCTGTGGAAGAAGACCCCACACCCTAGGCCCCATCTGCCTTCCCACTGCCTGCACTGCTCGTCCCCCTCGTCTGCTGGGACACAACCCTCAAGGCCCAGCTCAGGGGGCTGTGAAAACATTCTCTCACCCCTGGTGTCTGAGCCACCTGCCCACCTAAAGGTCAGGTCCCTGCTGGCCCAGGCCAGTCATCCCAGCAGCCGGGCAGCAATTCCAACTGGTCTCGTGAAGGATTAGGCCACAAGCCCACTTTTACACAGAAAGGACCCCTGCTCTGTCAACCGAGGACCAGTCTACCGAGACCAAGAACAACGGAGAAGTCTCAGCTGGACGGCCGCCCGGGAGTCTGACGGCCCAGCCAGCGGTTGACTTCCTGCCATGAGGATGTCCGCCTGTGGTGCCCCGAGCTTGCGGGAGACGAGAGCTCAATGAGGCCTTGGAAAAGACACCTGGGATTGGGTTTGGGCTGTGAGGGGGTCCCCCTGCCCTCTCTTGAGGGGCCAGGGCTCTTCTTGCTACCTTGGCCACCAGCAGGAGAAGAAGGCAGCTTCAGTCCAGGGCCCTCTGGGAAACCATCACCTTCAACTCCAGCTCAATTCCTGCCCCTGGACACTCCCTGGTACCTCACTTCCCCGAGTCAAAGCCTCTCCAGAGATGTCTCACTCTAAAGCAAAGAACAGCTTACTCACAGGCAGGATCTGGCTCGTTATCTCTCTCCACCTCCTCCCCTCCTCCCCCTGCATTTGCTCCAATCCTTGACCTAAATACTTGGAAATTCCAGGTGATTCATCCAGCACAATGTGTAATAACAGGAACCTCACCTGCTCACATCCCTTCCCTGCACAACAAAGCCCTGGGATCTTCCCAGAGCCTGCGGCTGGCCAGAGGCTGAGCTGGCTCTCAGTCACTCCTGGGGCTCCCCCATGAGGCACCCCAAGTGGCTCAGAGGCTCAATCTTTTGCCTGGGGGAAAGAAATGAAGAAGTAGCCAGATGTCCTATGCGTGCTTTCTTTTTGTATAATAACTTCTTTACAAGAAATAAGAGGTGTCCTGAGATGCCCAGATGTCTCCGGGAGAACTCTCCATGTGCCCGTCAGCATCCTATGGTTTGGGACATTCGGCCGTGAAAGAGGAATGCAGAGGTAGCTGTGTGCCGCCCCACTCCCCCCACCCCCTGCCTTTTATCTGTCCTGCAGCCCACTGCTGAGGACTGCAGCCCCCTCCCCACACCTGCTCTCCAAATGATGCCCCTGACCCCCGAGGAGCTCTCTCCTTACCCCTCACTTGGCATCTCCACAGAACCTGCCCACCCCCTGCCCTCAGCACCTCTCTCCCCTCTGACTGTTGGGCCCCATCCTCCACCTGAGCCCCAGGCCTCTTCCCGAGGCACATCTCATGAGTCCACCCTTGGGTCTCCCTCTCCACGGCATCCATCCACCTGCAGGACTTCAGCCGAAACTTTGGCAGTGTTTCCCAAGTGAGGTCTATAGAATGGTCCACGGGATCCTAAGAGAGAAGTGTTCCAACAGTGGTTGGATCCCTGGGAGAAACGCTGGACCAGCCAGGCCTCCTTTCCGCAGGACTCTCAGAGGCTTTACGCTGCGAGTGCCCTGGGGGCCCCAGGAGTGGGCATGAGCCAGGTTTTCCAAACTCATCTAAAGATAAAATCACACGTCTGACCCGCTACGGGCAAGGCTATCACACATGCTAATGGCTCCGAAGCTGCACTTCCAGCCACGGCCTCTCTCCTGACCGTCCCACTGCTTCCTCGACTCAGGGGAGCAGAGGCACCTCCCTGTCACCCTCCTCGCCAAACCCCGTCCCCATCTCCTGGGGTCCGGCCTCAGTGACATGGAAGCCTCCCAGTCTTCCCAGTTAAAGCTGGCCAATAAATGCTGCTGACTCTGGCCCATGGTGCTCTCAGATGCCCTCTCCTGTTCCGCTTCCCTTTCTCTAAGGCGTTCATCTCAGCCTCCTTCAGTGCCACAGCTTCCTAAGTGGGTTTTTTTGGGAGGGGTGGGGTAGGGGTGGTAGCCCCAGCAATGTCTCCTAAAATTTAGATTCCACATAGTGTCCAGATTAGTCTTATGAAGTCACCATCAGATAAGCGCCCCAAACTCAAAACCTGCCATCTTGCCTTATCCTGTAGGCAAGGCGGGGCTATGTAAGTGTGGCCTTCCATGCTCTTTTCTCAGCCCTGCCAGCCCCCTCAGCCTCATCTCCACTGTGCCTCCCACAAGCCAACCCACCACACTGCCAGCCATCCCCAGAGCTCAGCCCGCCCGTTCACACCAGTGCTTCCATCGGCAGTGCCCTTCCCTCCTTCTCTGCCTCCTCGCAGCATCCTACCTGTCCTTCAAGGTCCAGTGCACATAGGTCACAACTCTGAGGTCTCCCCGCCCCGCCTGGCACATACACTTCCCCTGTCCTGTGTGCGCCTGCTCCTTTGGCCCTGGGCGCAGTACATCATCGGTGACAGACACCTCCAGCCACTCCACCAGACAGTGAACGTTTAAGGGTCTTCAGCTCTGGACCCCCAGCATCGGTACATAGTAGGAACTCAGCGAATGAATGAGTAAATACGGAGAAGATACGGACCATCCTGCAGGATGTCCCCACTGGAATGCCACCATTCCTTCCTTTAAGCCCTCAGGGTATTTCATCTGCACCTATCTCTTGTTTTATATAAAAAGCTATTTACAGTCCTGCTTATTTATCCCAACGAGGCTGACAACCTTTTGATGTCAGGGTCTGGGGCTCCTCTTTGAATTCCCCTACCTGGGCTGGCATACAGAGATGGAGCAGGAAGTGCCGGCAAACGGCCGAGTGAGGAAGAGACAGGCAAGCAGGCAGGGGTCCCCAGCAGGGACGACATGGGACACCAGGACCCTCAATCTGACACTTGTTCCCTCCCTGGGCCGAGTTCTGCTGAGAAAGGGGAGAGCTGGTCCAAGTGGCCGAGCAAGGCAGGGTGCTGCTGCATGTGGGGACACAAGCTCTGGGCCCCCAAGGCCTGAGGTCTCCATTTCCTAGCTGTGTGAAGGGACAAGTACGTTAACCAGTCCGTTCCTTGGTCTCCTACTCCACAAGATGAAAAATTATAGCGCTACCACCTCATTTAGTTGTCACGAAGATTCAGCTGACACGCATGAAGCGCTCTGAGCAACCCTCAGTAAACGGGAGTTCTCAAGAAATGCCAGCCATCATCATCACCATCCTCTCATCTCCATCCAGGCCTGATGCCAAGGCGATGAGGCAGTAGGGGTCCTACCAGTGGTTTTGAGTGGGTGAAGGCTGGGGTTCGAGGGCTCGCCAAGCAGAAAGGAAGCCGGGCCTGTCAGCGCCAGAGTCTCACCATGAGTCCTTCATGACCCGTCAGCTGACTCGTGCCCCCATCCACATCTTCCCAGCAGAGTGGCTCCCCCCTCTCTGTCCTCCAGGCTTGGAGGCTGTTCCTTCATTTGGAAGAAATGGCCTTATAATTCCTGACCCTCAGACAAGAGGCTGAGGGACAAGGCAGCAGGCCGGGAGGATCGTGCCAGTCGGGCTCTCTGCCTTGGGGCCAAGTTCAAGGACACGCTGTCATCCTGGTCTACGCAATCTCGAGGGGAATGCAGAGTGAGCACCCACCCAGGACAACTTTCAGTCCGAACCACCAAGTCAGGCAGTGGGGTTGCCAGGTCAAGCACCAGCTCTGATGTCTGTAGACTGAAAGGGCTGCCGTGGTGGGGTTAGAGGGGTCAACCTCCAAAGCGGAAAGCCCAGAGTGAAGTTCACAGCCATGGCCTTCAAGTTAACATAAGCTTCCAGCCTTCAGAGTTTATGTTTAATAACTCCATCAGTCCTTTCACATTGGGAACATACACCATGGTATTATTTTACAAAGACACTAAAACAGATCCCCCAAAGTCATATTTCACACTGCCCACTCGTCAGCCTGTATTAAAGGGTTTTCAAGCAGCTCCCACACATTCCAAATGATGACTCTTCATCTGATGCTATCAGTCAAGGACTGGGAATAACTGGGAACAAAAGCCAGGCCAATCCACTCTGATTCACCAAGTATGGATATTAACTCCTCTGTTCCCTAAGCCACAAGTCAAGTCCCAGCAGTACAGGCCAGAACAAAATCAAACTCACATTCTTCTAAAGCTGCCAGACCAACTCAGGAAAAAAATTCCCCTAAATGAGAACTGAACAAATATTTCATTTGTTTTGAGCCCTCTGGCAGGCCCCACACTGAAGCCAAAAGACGCTCCTGGATTAGAAAAGCAAATCTCACAAAAATGATCCAGAAATCAAACATCTGAGAGAAAGTTGTGGAAATGATGGCCCAGCTGCTCTAAAACATCATGAGATAATGCAAGATGATCAATGAGACATCTAAGCATGGAAATGTGTCTACAAAATAACAGAAGATAGAAGGAAAAACTGAATATGAAGTATTATCTCAAAGGCAAAGCACAACTATATGTGCCTGATCCAAAAACATCAGAGGACCAAGATAAAACAAACACGTTTGTGTGAGAGTAGAGGGATTATGGGTAACTTTGCATTAAAAAAAAAAAATTCCTTATATGGTACTCTTTTAAATAAAAATGACATCACTGTCAGATGAGGTGCTCAGATGAAATCCAAGTAAGTGTATCTGAAACAAGTCCCCGAAAGCTGGGGGCTGTAGTCTGCACCACTGCCCGTGGCTTTGCATCAAACCACACACGGATGCTCGCCGACCACAGACCCTCATGTTTCTACAGCACAAGATTCGGGGGATTTTCATTCACTTGTGTCTAACCGCCTCCCAGGGGAAATACAAGCCTGGCCCACGGCTGCTTTTCCTGCCACCGCTGTTCTCAGGTTTCCCATCCTGTGGGTGACCCCAGAAGCTATGTAAGCAGAAACCTAATGGGTTGTGCTGGGCGGATGCTGGGGGCCAGGGGCAGGGCGGGGAGGGGCATCACCTTCAGGGCCTCCTCCCCACACCAGCCACCAGCCACCAGCCAGGGCTATAGCTGAAGGGGGTTTGAATTGTACAGACAAGGAGCTACTTACCCAAGTTATTGTGTGCTGGGGACATCGGATTCGGGGAGAGGTTTGGAGAACCTGCAAGGTGAGACACTGCTGTGAGACTTCAGAAAAGACTGTGGGCCTGGGAGCCAGATGACAGAAGGTGTACATCACAGTGGTGTGGGAAGAAAACCCTGGGCTGGGCCTCCATGGCCCAGGAGAAGGCCGAACCTCATATATCCTTGCCTGTGCACTCGCTTCCCCAGGTGCCAGCTTCTTTATCTGTGCAACCAATAGATGAGCAGATGACCTCAGAGTCTCTTCCACAACTCGAGGGTTTTGATGCGTCTAACCAAGCCTGCAGCAGGGGGCTGCTGCAGTCCCAGCCTGGGCACACAGACCCCACACTGACATGCCCTGTTAACTGGAGGAGACCCTCTCCCCAGGTGCTCCAGGCCCCGAGCAGCGAAAGTGGAGCTTGCAGCCACCCAGACCCCTCTCTGCTCTCAGAGCTCAGGGGCTGCAAATACCAATGCAGGCATTCCCAGGTTTCAGGAAACTCACCAAGCTGCTTCAGACACCCCACAACTCAGCAACCAGACTGACATTTTATGCAAAACATGATGCTACACATGAGGAAAAGTCCTAACTACCCAATTCGTCCTATTCTATTATCTTTACTCATTACTCCCAGTGGGTAGGTGGGTGGGGACCCACACAGCATCAGCCTTCAGAAAACCAAGATATTGCTTTTCCAAAAAGCAACCCTGGGCTGGTCGCTCCATCGTCCCTGCACCCATGAGGCTCCAGCTCCAGAGAGTTGTTTGTTTACTGACTGACAGCCCTTTGCGCCTGGCTCCACTCCCTGAAATCTCCAGTCCTCACCACTGGGCCTTCAGCTTAGGCTGCCTGGAGCTGTGAGCAGGGGTCTGCTCCTGCTCCTAAACTCAGCTGTGACCTCCTTGAGGACCAAGGGGAAACCATGGGTTCTGTCTCGCCTCTAGTACCCAATCTTCTGGGGGATGTGGAAAAGTCAGAAAAAGCAGAGTTTTCAAATCTTCCATGGTATCTGGACATGGCACCATGTAGCCATGGGACTTTGGCAAAGTGGTTCAAACACTTTGAGCCTTGATTTTTCTCCCCCGCAGGTATAAAATGGGAATAATACCATCTACTATGTGATGTGTAGAAATGAAGTGGAATGGTGCACAAAACTATGCCTACACCAGGGCTTGTACACAGGAGGTGTTAGTAAGTGTTGGTCTCCTGTTTCAAGCTGGTCCGAATCATGGAGACCCAGGAAGTGGGACCTTCTCTCTGGTCTGAACAGACATGTGCACATATCTGGGGAGACACAGGGCTGGAAAGGGAGAGCCTCGGGCCCCAGCGGAGATGCTGCTCCCATCTGCTGGCAGAGAAGTCAAACCATGAGCAACTGGACTGGTCTGAGTGAAGAGCAGAGAATAAACAGGAGACCCCACCCACCCACAAAGCCCAGGGCCCATATTCAATAAACATTTATGTCCACAACAGGGTTCTACAGGTACACTATGGGAGGAGATGAGGAAGGGAGGACAGAGATGGGACAGAGAAAGGAAGGGGGAGACATAAGAGTTGAGAGGGTGAAAAGGTGACTGCTTGTCCCATATAAGACCTTCTTCTCCTTTGGTCTGTTTTCACAGGCAGACTGTGTTACTGTGCTTCGCAGATGCAACTTTTTTTTTTTTTACTAACTGAAAGTTTGTGGCAACGCTGCATCCAGCCAATATACTGGCACCGTTTTTCCAACAGCATTCATTGACTTCATGTCTTTTGTCTCCTTCTGAAAATTCTCACAATATTTCTAATTTTTTAATTACTGTTATATTTTTGATGGTGATATGTGATCTTTGACAGTTACTATTGCAAAAAAGATTTTGACTCGAAGGTTCAAGTGATGGTTAACATTGTTGAGCTATTAAGTATTTTTAATTAAGGAGTGTACACTACTTTTTTGGACATAATGCAAGTGCAGACTTAACAGACCAAGACAGTATAAACATAACTTCTACAGGTACTGGGGAACAAAAAATTTGTGTGACTTGCTTTACTGTGGTTATCTGGAAATGAAACCACAGTATCTCAAAGGTTTGCCTGTAATCCTTCCACAAACCTGAAGAGCAGCAAGGAGGGAAGGGGGAAGGAGAGGGAGAAGAAATATAGCATCTGCAGAGATGTTGCTCAGGTGGCTGACTTCCCATACCAGCATTTAAAGCTGTGAGTTTACGGCAGGCACCCGGCATCAAATACAGGTCTCCAGTGCATTCTGGCTGGGTTCACACCGTCATCCACTCATCAGTGGTGTGTGAAGGCATGTGACACGATGTCCAGGCCATGTATCAAATGACCACATTTACAATAAACATGCATGTCCCCTGCATCCTTCTTCCGGGAACTGCACTCTCTTCTGGGCTATGTGCAGGGCAGGTGGCCCCGCCACATCGGACGGCTCTGCATACACGAGGCATGCCTGCTGTCATCGGAAGGGAACATCTGCTTGGCTCTCTCCTCCTCACCCAACCACATGCAACGCCATGCACGTGCGATGTGGCAGCTGGGGTTCAATTCAAGAAGCTGCTGGTCTGGGGCCAATTTGGTCCCAGAACAAATGAGGCAGGAACATCTGGAGATGTGGCTGGAGATGACTGGGCTGAGCCCCTCATGGCAAGAACACAAAGATTGCATTTGGGCATCACACAAAAATAGATGCTTCGGGGCCTTGCAAAGATCTCGCCTCTGTTCCAGCACTCCTGAGCTGTTTCAGGTGATGAAGGCCACCCTCCATCACACTGCCAGCAGCATTTCATCTGCTTTCAGCCTGCAGGGGCTCCACATCAGCCTCTGGCTACACCTGAAGCTTTGAATGACTGGCCCTCCTGTCTCTGGAGGAGGATGCTCCAGCCACACGGAGCTCTCTCTCACCCCAGAACTCACCAGCTCTCCTCCCCACGGCCCCTCATGACTCTGCCTGGCACACTGCTCTGCCTGTCCTGGCAGCCTGGCCAAACCCTATTACCTCCAAGACTCAGTGCAGGAAAAACCTACACTGCAAGTTACCGCTCAGTCCCCTAGTCCTTCGTCCCCAGGCTGGGTGGCGTGGCCCTACTCTGTGCCACCAGCATCTTCCATCAGGACATACAGGAGATGGCGTGGGGACTGCGGGCTGGCTTGTTGGTCTCCCCCACACCATGAGCCACTCGGGCTCCTGCTCTAGCCCAGATCTGGGCCCATGGGGATCGTTCAGTAAATACTGGATGGAGGGACAGAGAGAAGGATGGAGAGAGAAAGGGGGGAGAGGGGAATACAGAGAGAGAGATGGAGGAACAGAGGGAAGGATGGGGAAGGGCAGGCACTCAGGACAAGGAGCACAGACTACACAAGGCTCTGACCTGCATCCATGCTGTGGTTCATCTGGTGGTCACTGGTCTCTCCATCTTCACTCAGGTAGCCTGGGGGTGGGGTTTCTGGGAATTGAAAGGAAGGTGGTACATTACATGGCCTCTCTGGTTTGGCTCTTGAGGCGCCCTTTGCAAACTCACAGGTTCACGCCACTACACCGGGGGCGGGAGCTGAGGAACTCTGGGCCTCGGAGGCCTGGCTCTCCCTGCCTTTGTGCACTCACCCTTGCTTGTTCCCACCTGAATCACTCTGAATTCAGTTCACACCGTCTGACTCCCAGTCTGAAGTGCCTATTCCTACAGCCTCTGTGGGGCTAAACTTCTCCCCATCCCTCAAGATCAGGTTTAAACCCACTCCCCCCACCCCCACCCAGCTGTGGACTCACCCATCTCTGCCTCAAATCACCCTCTGGCTCTACCAGCCACCCCAGTACCATGATCTGCCGGCTCTTGAGGGGATGTCTCAAGTGGGATGCAGGCTGCATGAGAGCAGACCACCATGCATTTCTCTCACTGAGCCCCAGGCCCTGACTGATTCTCTGCTTGGCTGAACAGAGTGGGCAACCCACCCTCGAGGGACCAGAGCCACGCGGGACGGATGAAAGGCCGGGTCCGTAAAGCAGGTCCTTCCTTAAGGCTCTGACCCACGCACACAGGCCTGCGGTCAACCTCAGCACGGTGCGCTCACTCGGGGCCAAAGGCTAGTCCAAACTAGACGGCTCCAAAAGGAGCACGGCCCATCTCCGCCCCAGCTACCCTAGTGCGGGGTCTGGCCAAGCACTGCCAAGCAGTTCTCCTGGACGCCTGGAGTTCTGGTGATTCACACATTATTTGCATGTAAATGATGGGCTTCTAAAAACATTTACACTGTAACAGCAGAGCCCACTTCTCCCTTTAAAGTAAAACCTGCCCCCCAGGTTGGAACCCTCCTGGGGCTTACTTACAGGCCCCGTTCTCCACACGCGGCCCGGCCCTTGGCCCCGGCTCAGCCCACCGCCTCTGCAGCCCCCTAGACCTTCGGGGATCCTGCCTGAACTCCAGCCCCGGGGCCGAGAGGGTGGTGAGAGAAACACGCCTTGCTATTTCCGCTTCCAAAATAAATGACTGCGCCGAGGCCGGGCGGAAGGGTCACGCCGCCGCGCCTCCATGCCAAGAAAAGCATCATTAGTGAGCGCGGAGCCAAGGCCACGGGTCCTCTCCCCACAGGGACGCGGGGCTGAGTCCGGGGCCTCGGGCCAGCGGGTGTGCGGAGATGGGGTGACGGGGCCGTCCCGCGCCCGCCTCCGGGGCTGGCCTCACGGCTCGAGGGTGCCTACCTGGAATATTGCTCTGGGGCTCGATGCCGGCAGGGAAGTTAGTGTTTTCGGGGATGGAATGGCTGTAGTCGTCCAGCGGGGGGAACTCGGCCGGGATCTCTGTGTGGCGGGGCACCAACACGGGAGGTAGAACTGTGCAGAGGAGAGAGCGGAGGGGCTCAGCGTGGACGCCGCGCTGGACTGAAGCCCCGGCGCCCCAAACGCACCAGCGGCCCACCCCAGGGAGCAGAGGCGAGGGCGAGAGGCGGAGGAGAAGGATGCCCGGCAGACGCCTGCGGACCCCACAGAGGGGGCCGTACCTGGGGTCTCTACCCTCTGGTAGTGGTAGGGATTCACGCAGACCTCGTCCTTCTTCATGTTGAAGGCGAACTCACACAGCTCCATGGCCCGCAGCTCGTGGTGGCTGTGCAGGTCGGGCCATCGCCACAGGCGGCAGTAGATGACATGGGGGAGCCCCTTCCGGTGGGACACCTGCAGCCGGCCATCCAGGGACCTGCCGGGATGGACAGGGGGAGCAGAAACAGTGAGGGGGATCTGGCCTGCCTCCTCCCCAAGTCCAGCCCGCCGAGCTCCTGGGGGCCTGGCAGAGACTCAGAAAGCTCCCCCCGACAACCAGCACTCGTCCGGCTCGCAGGCAGAGGGCCTGCAGATCAGAGGAGCTCTGGGCGTGCGGGAAGGGGTGCAGGAGAAGAACAGAGGCCCAGCCGGCAGGCCGAGGGCTCCTGGGCCGGCAGAGCAGGCCCCGGAGCCACCAGGCTGCGGGATGACTGGCCTCCCCAACCTCGAAGGGAACGGCGCTGAACTGCGCTCTGGAGAGGCCAGGCCAGGCGGAGGTGGGCAGAGGGGCCGGGGCTGAGCTAGAAGATGTGAGTTCTTCAGAAGCGGACATGAGGACCACTGTGACGCCATGGAGGAGGGCGGCAGAAGGACCGTCACCTGAAGGCCCTGCATGCCACAACTAAGACTTGGTGCGGCCCGATTACAAAGATGAAGAAGGGGAAAAAGGAATGCTTTACCTAGTAAGTATTTCATGAGTTCCTGCTTTGTGTGGCGTGAGGGACACAGTGGTGAGGGAGAGAGATGAAAAGAGGCCACAAAGCAGTCCGTGCTTCCACGGAGCTTCCATGCAAGGCCGACCTTAATCTCCTAATCAGGTGAGCGACAAGGACAGGCGAAGGGCAGGGAGCTGTGAGCACATACAACCCTGGGGACGATGCTTCACTGAAGGGTGAGACAGGGCATCTCTGATGGGATGGTGGTTGACCAGAAAGTCTAAAAGGCGAGTTCGCAGACAAAGGGGGCTGGGAGGAGGACACTGCAGGTAGAGAGAGGAGCGTGTGCTAAGGTTCTGAGAAGGTGGCGAGCACAGTGAAGAGGGAGACCAGGATGGAGGCCAGAGGGACCAGAGAGGAGGGAGGCTGGGGCAGCAGGAAGGCGTGCCTCTGCCGGGTCTCAGACTCCATGATGAGAGGTTCTGCCTTCTTCCTAAGAGCCACAGGAACCCTCTGAGGTGTGTGTAGGTGGGAAGAGTGTGTGTGTGCATGTGTGTAAGACATTCTGGCTGTGGGGACAAGCAGACTGGGGGCAGGGGTGGTGGAAGAGTCCAGAGTGGGTGAGACGGGGAATTCTCTGGTGGTCCAGTGGTTAGACTTCCCCCGGCTTTCACTGCTGAGAGCCCAGGTTCGATCCCTGGTTGGGGAACTAAGATCCCACAAGCTGAGTTGCGTGCCCCCCACCACAAAAAAAGAGTGGATGCGATGGATACTCTTATATAGAGAGAGAGCCCCCAAAGGCAGTACTGCCCTTCCTACAAGAAGGCTCATCTTTGGACCCCACTGGTCAGCGGGCAGGACGTTTCTGATAGCTGGGCAGGGCTGGTGGAGAGGCATTTGAAGCTCTCTGTCCCTGCCCCCATTCGACTGAGGGCACCTGCTTTCCTGAGGAAAAAAAAAGGAATTTATGGACACTGTGAGGGAGGGACCTGCCAGATGCCAACAGAAGCACCAACCAAAGAGACAAAAACAAGAATCTAGTCAAACTCTGAGTCACTGGCCTGGGCAGGGGGAAGGACAGACAGGTCAGAGCTGGGCTATGGCAGAGGGACTGCCGGGAGCTGCTGACTAAGGGCAACTCCAAGGATGTAATTACCTCCCTCCCGTGGGGCCCCAGACCAAGGAACCCCAACAGCCCCAAAACAGTAATTAGCAGGCAGAACGAGAGAAGGCAGCCTGGGACTCGCCCCTGAGACACGGAAGGCAGACGGCCAGATTCGGAGTCATGAGACCTGGGGTCAAGACGAGGTTCTGCTCTTCCGGCTGTGAGACCCTGGGCAAGTCGTGAGGTCTCTGGGCCCCTCAGTTACCTCATCTGTAAAATGGGAGCATTCTCCGCCCACTGCTGCCCTTGGCCTCTCGCAACTTTCAGTATTCACTCAAAAGTGCTTTCTAGGGGTCTCCCTGGTGGCTCAGTGGTGAAGACTCTGCCTGCCACTGCAGGAGACACAGGCGGACCTGATCTGGGAAGATCCCATGTGCCACAGAGAAACGAAGTCTGTGCACCACAACTATCGACTCTGTGCTCTAGAGCCCGGGAACCACAGCTACTGAGTCTATCCACCCCAACGACTGAAGCGGACATGCCCTAGAGCCCATACGAGAGAGACCACTGGAATGTGAAAAAGCCCACATCCAGCAACGAAGACATGGCACAGCCAAAAATAAATAAATAAATAAGTAAAACTATTATTTTTTTAAAAAGAGCTTAGTGAAGTACCAACCAATGAGCGTTACTCGCCCACATCACAACGGACCCTCTCCAAAGCCAGCCCTGGATAAGTGAGGTGAGCTGTGGGGCTGAGGGGGAGAGAAAGGGGGTATGGGAGGTGACTAGTGGGGACAGAGAAGGCCTTAGCTGTTCCTATTGTCTTGAAAACCACTGTGCGCCCACAGAGAGGGACGTGGCCACATTCCCTCTTCAGGGTTCAAATACCCCGAAAAGAGACAGCTGAATATCTGGAGTGGCCTCCGCATAGAGTCCTTGGAGAGATGCTCAGACCAGCAGGAAGGAGTGAGGTTGTGCAGGGAGTCCCCCTTTCCTACCCAGTTGATGGAAGGCTTTTTTTTTTTTTAATGCAGCACTATTTACAATTGCGAGGACATGGAAGCAGCCAAAATGTCCATTGACGGAGGAGGACTGGATAAAGAAGATATGGTGTATATATACAACAGAATATTACTCAGCCATAAAAAAGAACAAAATAATGCCATTTACTGTGACATGGATGGACCTAGAGACTGTCACACTGAATGAACTGAGTTAGACAAAGACAAATGTTATATGATATCACTTATACATGGAATCTAAAAAAAATGATGCAAAAGAACCTATTTACGAAACAGAAATAAGAGTCATAGATGTTAAAAAAAAAAAGTAATACAGGGCAGGAAGAGGGTGGTGGCAGACAACAGAAGAGGAGTCCCCCCTTCCATGGGACAGACAACCTGAGACAGAGAGCAAAAGGCCAAGCTCCCGTCAGCTGTGCATGGGGCCTGGGCCTTAGCAGGGAAGGTGGGGGACAGGACACTCTGGGCACCCCTGATGCAGAGCGGTGCCCACCCACCACCCTAATGGCCTAACCCTCAGGACCCCTAACAGCCAAACCAGAGACCCAGAGGGACCCAGGGCCCCACGCCTGCTCGGGGGCCTGCCAGGGGGAGAAGGGCACAGAGTAGGTAGAAATGGGAGGCCTTGGGATGCACAAGGCCTGTACACGCCATGTGAAGATGCAGCCCTTACGGGTTTGGATAGTTGATGGGGGGAAGGAGACTCAAGGAAGGCAGAAGGCATATCACACTTGCAGGCAGAGGCCTCAGTGTCCTGACTCCTCATCCAATCCCTTCTCAGTTACATGGGTTGTTTCTTCTCAGGGCCTAAAGATCCTGGCTGTCTACCTGCAGTATTACAGCAGACAAAGCTCCAAACATAGAGGAAGGAGCAAGCAGCAAGAAGGGGGTGGTGATAAATGGGAGGGGGTATGAGACTGGGAAGGGGTGGCGGAGGAGGGGAGGCAAGTGGTGGAAGGTGGGAAGGGGATAGATGGAGGAGGGGGAGGGGAGGAAGAGAAACAGTGGGGGTGGAGTGCGGTGGAGTGGGGAGGAGGGGGAGGGGAGGGGCAGGGGTGGAAGAGACTAGGAAAGTCTTTGGTCAAATACAACAAACTGGATGGATGCATTTCTCTCTGTCCTGCCCAAGACAATAAGTAGAAGAGCAGATCAGACAAAATTGGAAAGCAGCTGGCCAAATGGGAACAGACTTAGCAGAGTGACATGAGCTGAGACCAAGGGTCATCAGAGGACGCCAACAGAAGTGATTCCCATTGGGCCTCAAAACCTGGGAAGACTCAGGAGTTGGAGGCACCACACACGTGTCAAGGCTCGGCTGAGAACAGGAAGATGGGGCTAAAGTCTGCGGAAGAGGCTGGCAGGTCCCAGCTCTTTCCCTGCCAGCCTCCCCACAAACAGGACCTCCCCAGGTCTGCCAGAGACAGGTCTGCTCTCTGTGGAAAATGATCCAGACAGCAGCTCTGGATGGGGTCACAGGACACAGCTGGGGGTGAAGTCAGACAAGGGTTAGAAACAGGATTTCGTGAACGCTCCCTTGTTCACCAGGCACCCAGGACAGTGACAGTCAGGCCCGTGCCCCAATCCCACCTGTAGAGGAATTAAACAGCTCAGCCCAGGAGAAAAGACCTGCAACACTGACATCTGGGGATCACCCAACAAAAAGACCCAGTCCCTGCAAGCCTGCCCTACAGGGAAGCCCGTTTGCCAACAGGCCCCTCCCATCGCCATACACTGAGCAGGCACTCAGCTTTTCATTGTCACTCTCTAATAGAGATGCACATCCGGAATCCCCACAGAGACACACATAAGTGGGGGAGAAAAAAAGAAATCTGAGACAATGTAAGGAGCAGAAGAAAACTTCCAAACAAAATGAAAGGAAACAAAAACTACTCTCAGGGAGACAAGTCACTGGAATCCTAAAACAGGAACATTTGCAAACTACTGAAAAACATTCCTGGAAATAAAAAATAAGAATATAAATTAAAAACTCAAGAGAGTTTTTCACAGACTTCTTGAGTTTTTAAACTACATACATGAATTATTTTAATAGTATAAAATTTTTTAAACCAAGGAAGGTACAATAATCAAGGTACAGATCAATGGACACTCAGTCCAGAAACAGCCACAAAGCTATGATCCACTGGTTTCTGAAAGTCCAAAGATAATTTAGTAGAGACAGAAGAGACCACTTTCAACAAATGGTGCTAGAACAACTGGACAGCCATATGCGAGGAAAATAAGCTGCAATCTACACCTTGTACCTTATACAGAAATTAACTAAGGTGGGTCATAATATAAAGCTTTAAACTATACAGCTTCTAGAAGAAAACATAGAAGAATATCTTTGCGGCCGTGGGATGGGCAAAGATAC